AATTCCAGATAACTGCTAGTAACATTTTGATGTGTGTAGTGGTTTTATTGTTGTTGTTTTTGTTTTCTTTGGGTTATCTCAACCCTTTTTAGGGCCCAGAGAAACCCTTTTAGAATCCAGTGAAATCCAGTTCTCCCTTGTCTTCAGGCCCCAAGTGCACCTACTTCCTGTTACATTTTGCTTACACGTTTTAGGAGCCTCAGAGTCTTGAGTGAGGACAACCATTCAGAGCCTAAACTGTGCGTAGTGTAGAAAAATGACGTTTCTAAATTTCAGAATGTAAATGTTAACGTTTCTCCTCAGGAAGTAAAAAAAGAGTCTGATTTTGTTGGCACCAAAAGTGTTGGTTCTAAGAATCTCTGTACCTGGACGTCTTAAATGTCTTAACCCATATTTAACTCGCAGAGGAAATACGGGCCGCGTGTCTTACCACTTTGACCCTTGTTACGGATTGAAGTGTGTCCTTCCAAAAATGTGTGTCAGCTTGGCTAGGCCATGATTCCCAGTGTTGCGTGGTTGTCCACCATTTTGTCATCTGATGTGATTTTCCTCTGTGTTGTAAATCCTACCTCCATGTTAATGAGGGGGATTAGAGGCAGTTACGTTAATGGGGCAGAACTCAGTCTAGTGGATTACGTTGTATCTTGAGTCAATCTCTTTTGAGATAAGAAAGAGAGAAGTGAATGGTGCGGGGAGGTGGAGGGGAACCTCATGCCACCAAGAAAGCAGCACCAGGAGCAGAGCGCATCCTTTGGACCCGAGGTTCCTGCGTGGAGAAGCTACTAGATCCAAGGAAAATCTATGACAAGGACCCTCTCCCAGAGCTGAGAGAGAGAAAGCCTTCCCCTGGAGCTGGTGCCCTGAATGTCTACTTCTAGCCTCCTAGACTGTGAGAGAATACATTTCTGTTTGTTAAAGCCATCTACTTGAGGGATTTCTGTTAGAGTAGCACAAGGTAACTAAGACAGCCCTTTCACAGACTGGGAGGGTGAGGGAGGGTCTCCAGTGTGAACCTAGTGGATTCTCTGAAACTTTAGTCATTACCTCAGATATGTTAATGATGCACTCCCCTACCCCCACCCCACCCCAATACCAGTACTGAGTTTTACTTAGGGCAATACATTGTTATTATTGTTAGCTGCCATGGAGTCGGCCCCTGACTCATGCTAACCCCACGCACAACAGAACAAAACACTGCCCGTTCCTGCGCCGTCCCCGTGATCCGGCACAGGTGGGACCGTTGTCCTCCATAGGGTTTTCATTGGCTGATTTTTAGAAACAGGTCTCCAAGCCTTTCTTCCTAGTCTGTCTGAGTCTGAAAGCTCTGCTGAAACTTGTTCAGCATCATAGCACCCTGCAAAGCACCACTGACAGATGGGTGGTGGCTGCACATGAAGTGCATCGGCCAGGAATCTAACCTGGGTTTCTCTCATAGAAGGTGAGAATTCTACCCCTGAACCACCATTGCCCCGTAGGGTAATACAGTGGAACCGGCAAGAGCCGGAACTTGTTGGAACTGCCTTGTTTTTCGGCGTCTGGCAAGCTTTCTACCTTTTAAGGGTACAGTCTTACCACTTTGCTATCTCTGTTTTTAGTGGAGAATATTGGAGTTTTTCTTCTCTGACAGGTTTCCTTCTTACACAGGTTCTGGCTTTCACAGTTTTCCTGTACATTGTTGTTAGGTGCTGTAGAGTCAATTTTTGACTCAGAGAGACCCCACATGACAGACTACAGCTGCCCCATAGGGTTTTCTAGGCTGTGATGTTTACAGGAGCAGATCGCCAGTTCTTCCTCCTGCAGAGCCACTGGGTGGGTTCGAACTGCCGACCTTTCGGTTCACAGCTGAGCTCTTAACCTTTGTGCCACCAACGGTAGTAAATTAGGCTGACAGAAATAAAAATCAAACCCCAGCACAGCATTTTCAAAGGGAGTCCCAACATTTATCCCATCAACAGTGACTTTGCGTTTCTGTATGGAGGGATTACCTCCGCTCACAATTAAATAGACAGGTTTGGACCACCTCACTCGCGTCTCTGGCAAGGAATGTGTTTGTCCATGTCCTGACCTGAAGGATGTGAACATGCCTGTGCTTCAGAATCAAAAGCTGACTTGGTAAAGCCTTTTCCACAGTGCGGTCGGATTAATGGAGCTTATTTTTCTTTAAGGGTGTATATTTATTTGACTGTTTCACGCCATTCGTCAATTTCTAAGCTGTGAATTTTTACGCCCCCTCTAGATGTGTGTATACAATTCAAGTGTGTTTGATTTCATGTGGTCTCTCTACATTTAAACAGTGCTGAGTGATGGTATGTGTAACGTGCCAATCTAACATTTCACATCCAAACCGAAGTCCTTAATGCTTTAGCACAGTTCTGTTGAGTGCCTTGCATTGCTTATGCTTGTCTTTCTCTCTGCAGCTGGTGCTTCTGTTCAGATTTTAGGGGTAGAACCGTTCACACTCCACCTGTAGGGTTATCCATTCATACGTTGTACACCCTACAAGGTCGCCATGAGTCGGAATCAACTCCACGGCAATGGGTTTGGTTTTTTTTTGGTTCTGTCCCGTCATGGATTGAGTTGTGTCCCCCAAAAATATCTGTCAGCTTGGCTGGGTCATGATTCCAGTGTTGTATGATTGTGTAATCTGATGCGATTTCCTTATGCGTTGTAAATTCTATCACTGTGATGAGGTTATACTGATGAGGTTGACAAGATTAGGTAGTGTCTTAATGCAATCTCTTTTGAGATATAAAAGAGAGAAGCAAACAGAGACACATGGGGACCTCATACCACCAAGAAAGCAGTGCCGGGAGCAGAGCGTGTCCTTTGGACCTAAGGTTCCTGCACAGAGAAGCTCCCAGACCAAGGGAAGACTGATGACAAGGACCTTCCTCCAGAGCCGACAGAGAGAGAGAGAGAGGCTTTTCCTGGAGCTGACGCCCTGAATTTGGACTTGTAGCGTACTGGACTATGAGAGAATAAACTTCTCTTTGCTAAATCTGTCCACTCGTGTTATTTCTGTTGGAGCAGCACCAGATGCCTAAGACATGTCCTCACGCTGCTTATGTTAAAATATGTTGTTATAGCTGCTGTCAGGTTAACCCCTGACTCATGGCGCCCCCACGCAAAACACGATCACACCATTGTAATCCATAGGGTTTTCATTGGCTGATTTTTGGAAGAAGATCATCGGGCCTTTCTTCCTAGTCTGTCTTAGTCTGGAAGCTTCGCCAAAACCTGTTCAGCATCAGAGCAACACACAAGCCTCCACTGACAGATGGGTGGTGGCTGCGCTTGAAGTGCATTGGCTGGGAATCGAACCTGGATGTCCCACATAGACAGGGAGAATTCTACTACCAGACCATCACTGGATTAAGATATATGCAGCTATTCATTCAAGGAAGAATGGGACGATGGCCACAGGAGAGGTGTAAGGTTTGGGGGGATTTTAGAGAATAAAGGCATTTCTTCTCCATAGTTTTATAAAGACGCAATGGGAGCTTGGCTTCTGATGGTGGGTTGAGTTTGGACTACAAGTGACAGGGAGAAAGAATCTGGCAATGAAGGAAGAATGGAAGTCAGAACCAAGGGGTCCATTCAAACACGTGTTATGCCTGTGGGCCAGAAGGAGCTGAACCCCAAGGCTGCTGTAGGCAGATGGGGTTTTAGGAACCAGTGTAATGGAGAGGATTCGCCTAGTGACCCTGGGGCTGTTAATGTAAACAAGTCCACGTTTATGTAGCTAAGCAATCTGAAGACTGGTCCCATCTAAAAATGATTCGTATTTCACTTTGAGAACTCCACTTTTCCGAACGAGGGAGGCCTTATCTTAAGGGGTGTCTGACTTGTCCACAGGTATTTTGTTCATTAATTCTTGTGTCACGTTCACTGGCCAAGATTGCAGCCTGGGATACCCTATGGGGCAGTTCTACTCTGTCGTATAGGGTCGCTATGAGGAGTGGAGTGACCCAGTATTGAATTATAAGCTGTCCTTGGTATTATTTTGATGTCATAAACCATATCCATTTAAGGGCTGTGGCGTCAGCATCCCACCTGACTGTACACGTTGTAATGTTCTTTGACCAGTGGGACCAAATCAAGGCCAAGGTCATGGCCAGAAGTAGGAAAGCCGAAGTGAGAGGAAAAGGGGTGGGCTGGGATGTGGCAGAGTGTCTAAGTGAGGGCCCCCAGACAGTTGTGTAGGTCTTCAGCCCCACATGCCCATCCTTCCCCCAGGACTCGGAAGACGTTAAGGGGCTGTGGGCAGATCATGCGTGTTGTATCTGAAACGTGTTCAACCTGGAGCAGACCAACTTTTTTCTTGCCCTTGGGGATGGCTGCCTGCTGGCATGCTTCTCAGTCTTTGACCGGTGGACAGCTGTGCATGTTGGAGAGAAGAATGGATTTGTATTACTGTAAAGATTAGTTTTCAGGGAAACTTACATCCTTAAAATTCTGGAATATGTCTATTCACCTCGCTGCCAATGGGCCAGGGTGCAGGGGGCGGGAGGGACTTGGCAAAGAAATTCTCCCCTTCTGAATTTATCATCGAATTACCATGAGCCTCTTTCCTGAGAGCAGCCAGCTGAATCTGACTGCCAAAGAGTTTTATTTTGCCAGCCAGCGTTTTAATTTCAGTCTATCTAGTTATCTGTCTATTTTGATTTGGCCAGAAGGCAGTGTTCCCCATTTGAGAAAATTCCATCAGCTTCTCATGTCGTAAAGCTTGGGGCTTCCCAAATTTACTTTACTAGGCTGCGCCGTGATGCATCCACATTTGCCATTCTTGGGATAATCTTATGAATCCTTCTTGCTGTTACATCAAATCTGATACTATAAGAGCACTTTAGAAGTTATCGTAATGGCTTATCCTTCATAGGTTTTCTTTAAACATGGGGCAGTTTTGCTAGAATACTGTTGTGTCTGTTTTTGAAGAAGATGAGAGATTGCTAAAGTGACAAATGTTTAATGTGTATAATCTTGTCCTTTTCACGCAGGCGGAATGGAGGCCCCTGATCCAAACGACCCTCTGGGACAGCTTGACGGTCACGACAGCCCTCTTCCGACTCTGAAAGGTAAACTGTCAAATACAAGTTCTCTTTCAGTGGGATTCTTTTAAAACGTTTCCAGAATATAATGTAGAGACGCTAACAGTTGATTTGCCTTTTCTACTCAAGGAGCCCTGGTGGCGCAATGGTTAAGCGCTTGGCGGCTAACCAAAAGGTTGGCGGTTAGAACCCACCCAGTGGCTCCATAGGAGAAAAGACCTGGCAGTCTGCTCCCGTAAAGATTACAGCCTGCAAAACCCTACGGGGCAGTTCCACTCTGTCATATAGGGTTGCTATGAGGTGAAATGCCTTGATGACACACACACACACTCAAGATTTGACCTGCCTGAATTTTTCCGGGTGCTGCTCGCTGTTGGTGGTGTGTGGTGAAATATTTATCTTCACGTCTGTGTTTCTTTTTGTTATTGTTGTTCTGGTTTATCTTCTTTTTTTTTTTTTTTAATTGTACTTTAGGTGAAGGTTTACAGAACGAATAGTTTCTCATTAAACGGTTAGTACACATAGTGTTTTATGACATTGGTTAACAACCCCACGATATGTCAACACTCTCTTCTTGACCTTTTTTTTTTTTTTTTTTTGGTGAAAATATACAGAAATAAAAATCAAACCCCAGCACAGCATTTTCAAAGGGAGTCCCAACATTTATCCCATCAACAGTGACTTTGCGTTTCTGTATGGAGGGATTACCTCCGCTCACAATTAAATAGACAGGTTTGGACCACCTCACTCGCGTCTCTGGCAAGGAATGTGTTTGTCCATGTCCTGACCTGAAGGATGTGAACATGCCTGTGCTTCAGAATCAAAAGCTGACTTGGTAAAGCCTTTTCCACAGTGCGGTCGGATTAATGGAGCTTATTTTTCTTTAAGGGTGTATATTTATTTGACTGTTTCACGCCATTCGTCAATTTCTAAGCTGTGAATTTTTACGCCCCCTCTAGATGTGTGTATACAATTCAAGTGTGTTTGATTTCATGTGGTCTCTCTACATTTAAACAGTGCTGAGTGATGGTATGTGTAACGTGCCAATCTAACATTTCACATCCAAACCGAAGTCCTTAATGCTTTAGCACAGTTCTGTTGAGTGCCTTGCATTGCTTATGCTTGTCTTTCTCTCTGCAGCTGGTGCTTCTGTTCAGATTTTAGGGGTAGAACCGTTCACACTCCACCTGTAGGGTTATCCATTCATACGTTGTACACCCTACAAGGTCGCCATGAGTCGGAATCAACTCCACGGCAATGGGTTTGGTTTTTTTTTGGTTCTGTCCCGTCATGGATTGAGTTGTGTCCCCCAAAAATATCTGTCAGCTTGGCTGGGTCATGATTCCAGTGTTGTATGATTGTGTAATCTGATGCGATTTCCTTATGCGTTGTAAATTCTATCACTGTGATGAGGTTATACTGATGAGGTTGACAAGATTAGGTAGTGTCTTAATGCAATCTCTTTTGAGATATAAAAGAGAGAAG